ACCGCCCGGAGCACCATGGGCCCGGAGGGTTCCTCAGGCGCCGGACGCTGAAGAAGATGACTGATGCTGGAGGTGAGGGCCTGGGCCCCAAGGACCCCGAGGCGGACGGGGAAGCGGAGTCGGGTGGTCGGTCACTCGGGCTCGCGGTGGGACCCCGAGTGGGGTTGGATGGAGTGAGCGACAAGGGCCTTTCTTCCTTTATCCCTAAGGGGGCCGCGCGGAGCTCGGGAGCTGGGCTGTCAGGGGAGGGGACGGAGATGGGATTTGTGTCCCTAATCCTCTCCCTCCTGCCCGCCGTCCGGATAAATTAATTTTAAAAACTGGTGTGGAAGGAGGGGGAGAGGGCTTAACTCTTTCTTGCCCGACGCGGAGTTGGACCGATGGATTGGAAAGAAACTAGCCGAGAGGCTCTGACGGGGGCGTAGGGGCCCTGGGAGTGCAGTGGGTGCCCTGCCCTCCACCCCACGCCTTTCCAGCGGCACCTGGCGGGGGGGCGACGCTTGCCGACGCCCTAAACCCGGGCCTGTGCGAGAGGGGCTGGGCTCGCTCTAGCTGCACAGCTGCCTTCCCCTTCCTCCCCTCCCGGCCATTCCTTCCCAGCTTTTCCCAGTTGCACTTCTCTGTTGGTCCCTTTCGGCTCCTCCAGGGCTCCTCTCCTCTGGTCTTCCCCACGGGGGCTGCCCCTCTCCTGGCAGCAGGTTCTCGACTCTTCCCTCCCTCCTTGGGCCTCGTCAGGGCTGCTGGGGGCCCTCTCCACTGCTGCTTCCCCTAGCCCGCTCTGCCATAGCGCTTCGGGCTCTTTCTTCCCTCTCTCTGGGCTCCCTGGATTGACATTGCCCCCCCATCCCCCAACCTGTCTGTTTCTACTACCCATTCTCTCTCCAGGGCTGTGCCCCTCTCTTTCTTTTTCTCCTTCCCTTGGGTCCCAGGAAGCTTGGAGCTCACCTGTCTCACTTTCTCCCAGAGAAGGGTCAAAGGTCATATAGGTGCTCCTCTTGGGGGGAATTGGAAGGAGTGGCCCAGGAGAGAGCCCAGGCTGTGTGCAGAGGGACAGGTTCATTTCCGCCCTGTGGCAGTTACCTCTGTGTGTGTGTGTGTGTGTGTGTGTGTGTAGGAGTGTGATGGCTCAGTTTTGGAATGAGGGGGTCGGGTG